GCTGCATTTCTCGCAATCGTACCTTTGGTGTATGCAGCCAATCCAGTAGCTATTCAGTTTGGACAGATCGGAACTTAAAACTTAACTCCTCAAACTATTGCCTGTGATTTTTACAATACAATTCTTCAGTTTACACCCGCTTACTATGGACAAACTCTTGAAGATGTTTCTGACGCTTCGACATGGATTATTGCAAAACTAGATCCAATTTTCTCGCAAACTACATTTGCATGTCCTGCTTGTTCATTTAGTAACAATGGAGGAAATTCTCTTTTCAGTCCAAATACCAACAAAACTAATAATACTACTTGCTTTGCAAAAACAAATCAATATTACAAAGTATATTTTCCAGCTGCTTCGAAATAAATAATCTTTAATATAATAAAAACAATTACAAAATAAAAATACATTTTTTTTTCGTCTTCTTTTTGTCATTGTATTTTACTTCTCTCTTCACTAAAATTTATGTTTTGTCCGTTTCTTTATACAAGTTTTGATCTATTATAACTTTCTGTTGTTTTTCATGTAGTCTTCTGTCATACTCTATAGTATATGTGTTTTGCCTTTTTTTTCTTTTTCTTTCACATTCTCATATACTGTTAGGATCGAATGATCACAGTTTTTTTGCAAATAAAAAAAATGCATTATTCTAACCTGAAATTCATTTCGTATAATAGTAAAAAACAATAAATGTATGATTAGAATTGCAGATCAATAATTAAAAATGATTTATACTGCCGTTATTACTACTCATAAATAGTATGAAATATTCTTCTCTCATATTTCATTTAACATCGGTTGAAAATTATATTTATATATTTTGTGAGAAACATCATAGAACCTATAATAGTCATCAAATATGTTTTTTTATGAAGTACCATTGATTTCTTATTGTTGCCATTAGGCAAAGACAATCAACAGAATCTATTGAGAATTCATTCAAACTCGTTACATCTCAGTATAAATTATAATCGATTATTTTATTGAATTTCTGAATCTTATAAAATATAATTCTAATTCATCATGAATAAATAATATTTCAGGTTCATACTCTAGTATAAATAAATTCTATCTTTTCAATTTGTAGATTTTCTTGTATCAAAGAATGGAACGGATAAATTTTTCATTGATTTTCTTTGTTTAAAACATCTTGAATTGCAGACAGAAGTTCATGTTAGTAACATAAAATTTGTTGACAAAACATTAGATTACATTGGAGTTTATTTTAATATTACACTGCATCCCATTATATCAATGAATTAGTCTAATCATAGAAAAACTCAATAGTTGTACTAAATACAAACTTCTCTGGTTATATCAGAATTTACATATGAATTCAAAGTTATTAAAATTATCAATAACTGTCTTTAGTATTCATACTATCAAGATGAATGCTAATAAATACATTCTATGTATGAGAAAACTGGAGTCTTGCTCGATTCTTCTACATGAGGTTACTATCCTTTAGAGCATTTGCTTGTTTATCCTAATTTCAACAAATTATTACATTAATACTCACTTCTGCAAAATTCTTCACAGATATGTCTAAGAAATTTATTTATACAATTACTATACAAAAATAACAAAAAAAAAGAAGAATATTAACTAATTCATTTCGCTCTACTTGATTGTTTTTTCAAAGTAAAATCGATTATTTTTATCATAAATATATTTAAGATTATGCAATCTTTGTTGATGTGTATTATAATAATAATCCATCCAATTTGGTACATCTCTATCCATATAATTAATATATGAATGTTTTGTTGAATCACGATAAATAGTCGAATATATTTCATTTAACCATCTCATTTGTTTCTTTTCCGAGTTTGTATCATTGCAATAGATCATCAACTGAATACCAAATTTATATCGTCGATGTGGAAATGCTGTTTTATCAATTGGAATTGTATGTATATAGCCATCCCAAGGACTGAATGTTATATAAAGCTCATCAATACCTAATGATATTCGATTAAGAAATTGATCAAGACTATGATTACTTATTCGCTTGTCATAAAATACATGTTTAGCTTTGAAACAATATGTTGGCATTGTTAAGTTTTTAAGTAATAAATATCGATGGTCAATATTAATATTAGCAAGTCCTAATCCGTCATAAACAAAAGTTAACCAATCTTCTGAATGTATCTTAGTTATATTCGGAGTTGGTAATGTTTCTAAAAATAATGCTACAGTTCTTTTGAGCACATTTAATTCAATACCAAAATAAGTAATTGAAATTCTTATTTCAAGATGATTCACAGTCATGGATAAAAATATATCATTACTCAAATTAAATATTGTATTATTAAACATCAATAATTGATATCGTTAGATTACTAATTTAGATGCATTTGGATACCAGACAAGTGAATATTGTGTAGTAAGCGTTGGAGCTTTCACTAATCGAATTTTAAATTCTGTGACAATAACAAATGAACCTCCACCACCACCACGTAATGCCCAATATAAATCTGGTTCATGTGTTTCATTGATCGTCAATAACTCACTTAAAACAAATATATCACATACATTTCGAAACAAATATTTAGAAGTTTGTACATTACTCTTCACACAAGTAATAGTGTGCATTCACAGCTCATTTATGGGTGAACAAATATGGGTTTCAAATTTATATTTATCCTATATCTTCACATCTATAATCATACTTTTAAGATAAACTACATGGAATAATACATAACATGTCTTTTGAAAAGAAAATTTTGTATTGAAAAAAGTTTCTTCGTATGTCCGATACAAATATTCTAATCTTTTTCAAACAGAATTCTTACACTCGAGAAATGGCATTATTTCTTAGAAATAAATATCATCATGAAAATGTATCTACCGTGAGCATTAACTGCTTTCATTTCCAAAACATTATCAGATAGTAATCCATGCAACCGAGAAAGTAGTCCATATCCACCACCAAGTGCATGACCAGCAAGTCCTACCCATGGACAACTTCCAGCGTTAATTGTATAGTTATCTGATTGATATGCTTCATAATAGATTGGACCAAGTCTTGTACCAGCTCCAAATGTCCCAGTTCTATCATGTTGATTAATATTTATATAATTAATTCCTTCCATATTAATTATAATATTATTGTATGTTGAACCTAATCCATAACCTTCATAACTATGACCTCCACTTAATGCATTCACAACATAGTTTAAGTTTGCTGCACATACCAGCACATTTTGTACATCACTACTATCGGTTACATACACAATCACAGCTGGTGAATGAGAAAATCGACCACCACGAATAGCAGATAAATTAGTAATATTAAAATGAACACATCCATATTGAAAACTGTTTTGATTTGCTATAGTACTACATGGATAAATAGTACGTACTGACAATGGTAACAATGATGAAAGACATGTGTATAAATCATTATTGTTTTTTCTGGTAAATCGATAGTTAGGAAGATGAGTTGTCGAAATCAGATTAATTTGAAAAATACATAACAAAAACAAAATGAAAAACCAATTCAAAATAAATATATTAATCATTCTAATCTAAAAAAGTAGATCATTTTGAAGTTATATACTTGTATCGAATAATACTCGTAGATGTAAAGAAAATGTATTAGTTCGTATGTGATGAGCCTCAGTTTATTTATTTTAGTCCTACTTTTCACATGGCTACATATGTTTATATGTTAAAAGAAGAACAGAAAAGAAAAGAAAACTAAGATTAAATAGTAACATTAAACGAAAATAATAAAACAAGATAGAATAAACACGAGTTAAGGAATACGAACAAAAGTTCACTGATGTCCATAAAGTTGATTATCTGTATAAACATATGTTATTATTCAATATATACAGTCAAGCATGAGAAAATTTATATTTTTCACATAAATATGGAGATGTGAATATTTTAAACTATATACACATCATTTATTTGGAGTGTATTTTACAATCTAATAGTTTAATCAGTTAGGAATACTAACATGCAATCAACTAGATGTAGTATAATCCATAGAAAAGTTCGATGACATCATATTTTTTCTCCAAAAATAGTTAGAATGCCATGCACATATTACTTATTCTATTCAAGCTTCTAATAAAATTTTTCGGTTAGTACTTTTTATTATGTGCACAACTTGAAACCGACAATCTGTTTTTCTCACTGAAATCAATGTTGAATAATATTTTCATAACTCAATTCAAGTGGGACATTGTTGAACAGTAGTTTGACAAATTTAATATTGAAAATAATCTCATCAAAATCAATACTTTATTATCATAGCAAGAAAAAAACAAATATTCATGGATAAAATAATAAAAAAAATCAAAACTTCGTTCTATTCATTTGTGAGTCCTATATTTATTCACATTGTTTTAGTTTTATTTCGATTCTCGATGTATCCGATCTTGTGTATTTGATATCGATTATTTCAAATCTTGAATATGGCAGAATTAATACTTCTTGATCATCTGGAAATTCTGATATATCTTCAATATTTAATGCACTTTTATAATTATATATTTCATATACACATATGACATTCAATTGATCATTTGATTTTTTATTTGTTTTACAAAATTGTGAAGCAATATTTATATGTTTTGATGTTGATAAGAATGTCTTGATTAAAATCTGTTTACCTATTTTATATTGTTGAAGGTTATCATTATTAATTATCATACCACGATATGAAGTTCCAATATATGACAATGTTTCTAATGGCTAGTATTAATTTGAGCAATACAAAAAAAAATCATAAGATGGTTTTATTGCTCATTTAAATATAAGTCTAATAATAAAATATTTTCCACCACAGGTATAGTTAAATTTGAATATAATATCTCCCACTAATAATATATTTATTGTAACCATCAATAAAAAAAGTCATTTCATCTTTCAGCATTTACTTCTTATGCTGATTATCGTTTAATAAATATTATTATTGTTGATTCATTTTATAATACTAACAAACGATTCGTGTTTTCGATAAAATCACATTTACTATATTTCTACAAAAATAGCATACATATGATTGTCTATATTGAATAAAAGTATTGTTCATACGTTTATGATAATAGCAAAAGAAAGTTCTTATTATGAACAAATTTTACCATCATGATCATTATCATCTACATAATATTCTTCCGCTGGCTCTATAATTTGTAGAAATCTTTATCCCGCTCAAAAATTGCAGAAATCTTAAAACATCGGACATTTATTAAATATAACTTCAGTATCAGCACAAAATGTTTCATTACGTGTTGAATAAAAAATTGTTAAATTGTATGACATCACTCTATTCTTTCTAATAAACATTCTTGTGAATAAGACAATTTTTCGATTGATAACACTTTCTCATTTTACTCTCAAAGATGATATTTTAGAATATTCACCATTTGTAGTTAGTCTTTCTCTAGAAATTATTTCGAACTTAAATACTCAGATGCTGAAAATTTTATCATATTGATCAAAATAAAAAATGAAAAATAAAATTCTGCTTTAATGTTTTTCATGAATAAACCAAACAAATATTTTTTACAATACATCTATGCAACACATATAAAAAATGAAAAGAAAAACAATAAAATAAATTGTTGAAATAGAATAATTGATCTGATGAATTTTCTATGCACAAAAATTGATATTAAACGATCCTTAGTAGTAAGAGATTCACTAAAATATTTATACAAAAGGATATAATAAACGATCCAGCATGGTCGAATGCAGTAATATTTTATTTATTTTTTCATACATAAAATACAGGTAATGCTTGTAATGGTACATGACGACAGAGAGGCTTTCTTTATTTATCATTATCGGCACATTTTTTGTTTGGAAGGAAGAAAGCATCGACTCGTACATGCTTCTTTTTTTATCTTCATACATTAACTATAGGTAATATTTCTTATATACACAACAGGATACACAGGTATTGATGTGACTCATTGGCTATACGTTCTTCGTTAATGAGAGGGCCATGAATGGTAAATGTTTTTCTCTCCGTACATACATTATAGGTAATATTTCTTAGACACATGACGAAAGAGATAGGTACTATCGTGACTAATTATATATGCGCCTTTCGTTTATATAAGTGAGAATACTGGTATATTATTTTTTTCTGCACATACAAATTATTGATCATGCGGTTTGTATAATCAGTGAAAAAGCGACCCGTCCTTCATACTGTTTCGTTTGACTGCTTAATTATTCTTATGTAGCCATCGAATAAAGACAATTCATACATCAATAATCACGGAATTAAACGATATAAAAAAGAGTATGTCATACACATTTTTATTTTATTGTTTGATTTCATTTATACTTACAGCTGGTATATACGCCTATTCTTCTCTGACTTCGATGTTTGGTGGTTATAATTTAAAGGTAACTACTTGTATAGCAGAGATCCAGACAGGGCACTAGGCCTGCCTACCTGCCTGCCTGGGCCAGGCGCAGGCCATGCCCTGTCTCTGTTATTTTTAAATAGTTTTAATAAATATTTCATCTCAGCTCAATAGATGTATTTATTGATATGTTTAGTTAGGGATTTGTCGCTAGTAGATGAAGAATGATTTTCATCTTGTTGATTGGACACATTCATGAGTAATAGTATAAATTTATCATATTGTTCAATGTCTATTTAGATATTCTTCTCTCTTGTATTATCTCGTCGAAGTACTGGTTACTATTCCTATCGTTTATCTCTTTTATTTTATATAAACATTGTCTTAATTCTCATTTGTCATATTGTTACTATTATATTGGTGATATTCTCTTGGTAGTTTTACATTCGTATTATTAGATAATTATTATTAAATTAGTTTTATTTCATAATGACTTCTATTACTTTAAATTCTTCAAATAGAACGACTGCGTCGTCATCGATGCCAAACGCAATTTATCAATATTCAACAGCATCAATTAATATTTTATTGAAACGAAAAGATGATTCGAAAGAATTTATAGTGATAAAGAATGACAAAAAGAAGATTTCATCAATTGCTTGGTCAAGATTTGGATTTCCAGCAAAACGTTTAACAGACAATTCTTATAAACGAATAGTTGGTTTTGCAAGTTGTTTCGAATGCAAACATACCTATAGTTTTCAGTCTGGTGGTAGCGGAAGCACGAAATCCCTTTTAAATCATAAATGTAAAAAAAGAGCACCATTAGCAAATAGGCAAGCGAGTCCATTAAACAAAATCATCAAATTAGAGAAAACAACAGCACCTAAATTAGCTGCTATTGATTATACTGAAATTCATGATGATTTAACTAAATGGATATGTTCGTCTATTCGCCCGTTCAATATTGTTACAGATCCAGGATTTAAAATTTTTTTAGAAACGATTGTCAATATTAGTGAGTACCTTACTGCAATTATTTTTAGATAATACTTACTAACTTCTTAGGTCAAGAATATCATGCACCAATCGATATTGATGATATTCTTGTATCACCAGCAGCAATTTCGAATAATATCCACAAACTAGCTGAATATTACAGATCTTTAATACGATCGGTATTAATTGATCAAGCAGAGTCCGGCACATTAGCTATTAGTCCGGACCTTTGGACTGATAAATCCAAAAATGTGAATTATTTGAGTTTAACAGTTTACTTTGTTGCTACTGATTTTGAATTATATACAATTGATTTATGTTGTACTCCATATAATGAAGTTGATAAAACTGGTGAATCTGTTTTACAAGTAAGTGTATTAATCAAAAAGAAAAAAAGATAGAGTCTTCATTACTTTATTGCTAAGGCAATACGTCAACAACTCCATTTGTACGGATTATTACCTTACATGGATGATCATAAAATAACATTTACATCTGATCGTGAACCAATTATTCTAAAAGCATTAAAAGGTAAATTATTTTGGCTAGGTTTATTGTTTAATATTCAAGTTTGTACAATTTAGGACAACCGGTGATTTATTGTTGTGCACACAGAATTGATAATGTGCTTAAACGAGCTTTTTATCAAACGGCACAGAAGAGAGAAAAGAAAATTTTGAATGCATCAACAACATCTGGAAAACGACAATTGACAGAGTATCAATTGATATGTGATAGTTCATCCGATAGTAGTTCATCTGAAGATGATACTACAGCTCCATCTCCATCAAAATACGTCGAAGCCCATACATTATTAGTGGACATACCATTAAAAGCAAAAGAAATTTTAACTACAATCACAGCAAGTAAAAAACTAGTGAAATATGTGAAATTAGTGAGTAAATATCTAATACAAACAAACGATTTATTTCTTTGTAAATGAAATCATTTTGTTTCAGACTGGATTAAATAAAGATATTGAAGATCTTGGTGGTATTGTATTGAAACAAGATTGTATTGTCAAGTGGCTTTTACTGTCAAATATGCTCGAATCAATCGATGCTTCACTAGAATATGTTCGATCGATATTCTTAAAATCAAAGAACCAATATTATTTTAAATTAGATCATATTAGTATGGATGGTCTAAAAGACTTAATTTGTTTACTAAAGGAATTCAAAAATGTATCTTTACAAGTACAAACTGGTACTCGGCCATCACTTCATATGGCTTATATTTGTATAAATAAACTTGAACGTCATTTAAATGGAACTGATGTTGATAAATATGGTAAATTTATAAATATAGATGATCGCCATGAAGGTATTAGAAAGAACATAATCAGAATGGTATATTATTTTTTGAATTATTTGTTTTAGGAACTGATTTTTTTCGAAAACGTTTGTTTCAATTATTACAATGCATGTTTACTTTTGATAATAAACATATTGTAGCAGCTGCTCTACATCCACTATATCGCAAGTTAACCTTTGCAACCACGTATAACAAAACTTTCGCATATGTTTACATTCGCGAACAAATAGATGAAATTCTTGGATTAAATAAGCAGCTAATGACATTGTATGAACCATTACAAAAGAGGCACAAGACAATGGAAGATCAATTTGCTGATCCAGATGATGAATTCGATACGCAGGGTGTTAGTTCACCATCAGCAAATACATTTAATTATGATGAACTTGAACGATATCTACAAATGAATATCGAAGATTTTTACAAACAACCTAACCCATTACCATTCTGGCGAGATCATCAAAGTATGTTTCCAGCACTATCCTTATTGGCTCGTCGTCTCTTTTCCATCCCGGTTACATCAGTTGGAGTAGAACGTCACTTCTCATCTGCCGGTCTTACAATAACACAACGTCGATCATCACTTGATCCTGATACCATCAACGATGTTCTTTTCGTTCGATCTATACAACACCTTTTGGAATCAAAACCAAATTTTTTTTTCTAAATATTAATATTATCTGTATACTCATTCTCTATGCAACGATAGTTTGTTGAAATAAAAAAGAATAGTTCATCTAATCATCTCGACTTAATTTACATAACTTAAAGGTATGAGTGTGACTATCAGAGAATGCATATAGTTATACTCACACTCACACTTATCCTCGAGGTAGGACAAGATAGATGACTTTTTGTAGATAAACTGCATCATTTTAAGATACAATATTTGTAATCATTTCACATTTATTTTAAGAAGCTTTCTAGTCTAAGCTTAGCGATGCAACTCAAGGAAACAAATGAATCTCAATAAAGGCATATTATTATTTAAATATAATGACAGTAAAAAATATTATTCATAAAACTATATTTTTGTATCAGTAATAAGAATATTGTAAGAAGCTTGTCGAGTACATAATCTGTAAATCGAGAAAATTTTATTTATATGTAAAAAAGATAAAAAAAATTTCAATGTTCGAGATGCTTTCACATCTCTCTAATGGAGAATTGTTCTTTTATGATCGAGAGGATGAACTAGATGATGAACCCGACTTTGAACGTCTTCCATGCTTTTTGCCATGTTTTTTATGTTTGTCATGAGAATGACTACGATGACGATGTCTGTCTGGAGAACCTCGGCAAGCACTTTTGTTATTGTCATGTTTCTTATTCTTGTCTCGTCTGTTATCATTGTCACTATCACGCTTTTGATCCTTTTTTCGTCTGTTGTCTTTATCCTTGCATTTTTCCTTGCCATCATTATCATCATCACTGTAACAATCTTTGTCTTTATTTCGTCCATTATCGTTATTCTTTCGTTCCTTCTTTTTTCGATAATATTTTTGTGCCAATTTCCATGCTTGTTCACCAGTAATTTGGCCATTTTTTCCAAATTTTCTTTCAAAATCATCCATAAATTCTTCTTGAGAATCATTACTCGATGCCATTCGATATTTCTTTTGAGAAGAAATATAATCGAAATCTTGAGATAAAAAAAGTCTAATATTTCGTTGGTAACTTTTTGTGAATGAATAAGAACAAAATTGTTCTGTTTTTGTTCCTTTTATATTTGAGTAGAAAGAAAATAAAGGAGAGTGATATTCTATACTCTGTATTTCTTTATTTTCGATTGGATTATATAGTTTGTTATTTGTAAATAGATTAGAGACGTATTATGAAGAAACCGAAAGAAAATCTCCATAGTTAAATGATAATACCGAAATAAATAATTGCTACGTGAAATATTGACTATAGGGTTCTTATTCTTGCTGCTTAGACTTTCAATAATTTAATTTCATGTTATAAATTGCAGAAGATTATTTGGTAATGTTGGTTGGTTGAATCAAGTTAAAACAAATTCTAGTGATCAAAACTATCTTTCACGAAAGATTTCATCTACTATATCATTCAGATAAAAGTGCACATTTTTCCATAAGAGAAATACCGAAGAATTTGAAAATATTCGATAATTTTATAATATAAACTTTAAATAAATTCTAATTTATATACACAATTACCAGAGAGAGTTTTTAAAGTTATTTTTTACTTATAGAATCTCCTTCAGCAATGGGAATATTAATAGAAAAAACTTATTTTATTAAAAGTCTAAAAAGCTACTACACTGCAGGAAAACACCCGAGTTAATAACAGCTTGAAGCAAGGTACGTGAAATGATAATGAGTAAATGATCTGCGTGTATAGATTTGATTTATTAAAATAAAGACAAACAACATCAAGAGAATAATATAAATTGATTAATTTTTTTAAAAGAACTTTTACAAATGAAAATAGTGCGACAATACATTAATTAAGTTCATGATACTTAAGAGAAATCTTCATAATCTTAATCATTCAATACATCCTGATTTGAACGTTTTTTTGTTGCAGCAGTAATTGATATTGGAACTACTGCATTTTCTATAAGAAAAATAAACAAAATAATTAATGTTAATTAAAAGAAAAACTTGAAAGATTTACCTCTCGTTGAATGAGTTATATAATTTTTAAATTGATTTAATTGATTCCAAAATACTTGACGAAAGAGTGGACTTGCAAGTGTACATAGATAAAATGATTTAGCATAATTAATATAATAAACAACAGTACCAAATTGAGAAAAAAATGATTCAATAGCACGTGATCTACTATCTTTTACTACATCTCTTGTAAGATACGTATATGCTATTACAACAGTACGTAGCGAAAGAAGTATTACACTTAGAATAACTTGAATAAACATTATAAGTATTAGATGACGATCAACTCGTCGATGAGCTTCTTGCTGTTGTTGTTGTTGTTGCTGCTGTTGAAAAGCCATAACTCGTTCTCTTGATGCTCTAATATGACTAAACGTCATCATACTGGCAATAAACATACATATATAAGGTATAATTGTAAGCCAAATAACAAGAAAACCACTAATAAATGTTGAATAAACACCTGGTTGAGAAGAACATGTATTTGGAACTCCATTAATCGTATAGAAATCATAAAAGACAAGCATATGAGCAAGTGAAATTAACCATACAATGATTGCTACAATTACAAGACGATAAGCTATTGTAATTTTACTCCATCGACGCCATCGGGCCAGACTTGATGTTAACCAACAACGATCAATTGTTGCGAGGACTAGACATGCCGTAGATATTCCAGGAAAAACACCAGTTAAATAAACACGTATTTTACAAAAGATCGCAGTTTGATTTAATGCATATTGATAATGATCAACCATTAATCTCAATGTACCACAAATTGATAATGTCAAAATATCAAAGACAGATGAACATAGAAAATAAAAAGCGCATGGATTTTGTCGTAATTTTTTTGCTGAAAACGTCAGAATATTACATAGAGCACCTATCGTTCCTAATGTAATAGTAAAATATGGTACGTATAATGTGATTTTACTGATTACTTGACTCAACGTAGTGATATAACTATCTGTCATGATTACGAAAATATATTGATTTTCTAGAATAAATATAAATTTATATATATTTAGTTTAAATGCAATGTAATAGAAACTGATAAAATTAGAAATTTTTATAATCTTACGGTTGTGTAAATTCTCACAAGAAAACTATACTGAATGTGAAAAATAAAATTTGACTGCCTGCACTATAAAATTTTTAATAATGACGATATAGTTAAACCTTTTCCAGACGAATATGTTACACATGCTAAAAGAGATTCTAAAGGCTATATATCTAGATATTACAATGTTCATGAAATTTAATTAAAAAAAAGTAGTATTATCAATTAACTTCATTATCTATTTGTGATCCATATATTATATCATGATGTCTATTAGATATTTTTTCTATTTTCATAATGTGTTATATTGTAATAAAGATTTAACATCATTTATCTCGAAGGACAATCAGCTTCCTTCGCTTTTCCGTATATATAATATAAAAAAGGTTTATAAGTAAAGACCAAGTACGTCATATTATAGGATTTCTGTAGGTGCTGCTCGGATGCGTAACATGATCCAAAATAAATCCAATTTTTCCGTATTTTTTTTCTAATGGTAATTCAAAAAAAAAGTCTTTATTTACAAAATAAACTACAAATCACCGAATTAATACGCGAATAATACGTAATCAAGTCTCTACCGATAACGATAGAATGTAACTGTGAGCATAAGATCAATTATCACAAAAATAATAAAATATTTTTCATTTTTATAGATAAAGGCTAACAAGCGACAAGTATCATTATAGAAGAGTTTTGAAGAGAAAAAGTAATATATAATGCATAAAATCTTTTTATACCGAATAACATCTTTAGAGAGAATTTTTTAACGCTTTTCATTATATTTGGGTATGGGTATCAGATGAAAATAACAACCACACGCACACTCTATTATTCATCTAACTGATATTGATAATAGACTATTATCATTCATCCAGTAAATATATATAATTTACATGTGTATTCGATGCAATAATATTTATATCGTATCCAAAACTATTTCACTGTACATTATATTATTTAACTCATCTACGTCAAAAGTAGATATAATATATGTTATTGTATAATCACATCCACAATATTTTTCCATCATATTTATTAGATAACATTTATATGAACTATAGAAACCTGCACTACTCATCTTTCCAATTCTTCACGATGTTAGAATTCAGTCTGACCCTCAGCACAATGTAGTTTTATATAATTGTTTTGTCTCTATGTCATTCATCGTACTTAGTTGTTTGACGAAAGTGTGGATGTGGATGAAAGTATAGAGATAATAAGACACTCACACTCCACACCCATAATATAAAGTTATATATGGTGAAAAAACTTTTCTTTATTTGTTTTTGTTTTCGATGAAGGAACTGATCAGTCTGCTATATACACAATAAACTTAGAAATTGTTTAGATGTATTGCAAAAAACTTTTCTCAAATATTTCTTTTAAAAATTATCAAATGAAAATAGCCGTATCTCTATCTTAAACTGAGACATTTCAAACTATTTGTTTTTTCAGATGATAGCTCTTCTTTTCTTCTACAAAACCATACATTTCGAGCAATACACTATATAGAAATCGATTTACTATAAGAGGAATCGAAACTTTCTATTCATTCTTTATATATTTATTAAAAAAACGTAATATAGATATAAATATATTCTTTTTTAAGCCTTTTTCAGTGATAGGTTAATGTAAGTATTAGATTACCAAATTAAATTAATCTGTATCTATCGAGCCTTATCTTAACAATACAACTAAAAGCAAGTATTATTTTACAAAAATAAAATTGGATTTTTAGCTTATCTTAACAACAGACATCATAGTAAATACTCTATGGCATAGAATAATATAATTTTCTTTTTTTCTTTAGGCCAATTTCAATATCATGGACACTTGAATTAGCTATCTGATGAGCATAAAACTATATATAACTAGATCTTTTTAACAACGATCATAATAAAAACTAATATAGATACAGTTTTAATTTCGATTTTGTTTTATATGACAGAAGAAAATAATCATAATCGAATTTTTTTGAAATCCTAGATTTGATTATAACTTTTTGTATCTTTTTAAGATTTTATCATAGCTGTTTTATTTTGTTTTGAATAATATATTCTTTTTATTATCTATTTTAGCAATATTGTGAAATAACAGAAGATATAGTATACATCTTTATACCTATATACATATTAGCAGGAGTATCCGGTGATGCGCAGGAAATTGAGGATATAAATACAGGTAAGAAATATTAATGATACTAACATCCAAACTTTCCTTACATATTAGATTTACATATTTTCATATTAGGATAAAATAATATATTAAAGTATAAATATTATTTTTGTTTTATTTTTTCTATTTAGTATATACAATAGATTAAATAAATAAATAAACATATAAATACTTTATTTTTAATTTAATTGTTTGGTTTTTATTATACCATGTTACCATTAATATTAATGAATAATAAAGAAAATATTTCAAATATTATTAATTTATTATATAACTTATGCAAAGAAAATGAAATAGAAAAAGTTCAAGATATTTTACCATGTATTGGTAATATAAATATTATAAATAAAATTCAA